ATATATATATATTTAGAAACGAAGTATTCATCCAGAAAAGTTTTAATTTTACATTGTTTTTCAATTTAATTCTTCACACAGATTTTTTCTAGAATACTGTTTTCTATTTTCCTAAACATTCATTAGTTTTATTTTATCAGATTAATATGAAAATATCCAGATTTTCTTTTATATTAATCTCACTCAGATATCTCCTCTAACCTAAAACTGGTGACTCAATTGGTGAAGAACTGGCTAGTAACGTTTCACCATCACCGAACAGACCCTGAATTTTCATCTCTCGTGATGGATAGCTGTTCTCCCAAGGAGACTTCTTGTCTTCAACGTCTGTTAGGACACAAGCCCAGTGATGACCTAAAGTGCAACCTCATATATGCGATCTATTGATAAAGATGTTGCGAAAATGGTTGGTTCACTGAACTGTTTATATAGTAGCTGACTCCCCGACAAATATTCTCTGATTTAACAATGGCCTGATCAGACTAAAAATGGAGCATTGCTTTCATATTGCTGGAGCTGCTCATTCCTCCCTTGCCTGACTTGATGGAGTTCAAAAATGTCTACCTGGTCTCGCGAGTGTTTACTTATTTTCCACCCTAAAACACCTTGCCTCTAGACAAAACGAAGCCAGCCTATCGCTATTTCCATGGCAAATGTTCTGACAAGGTACATTCCTTATGCAGCTTAAATCCGTGATGTCACGTACACAGAGATGAATCATCCTAATCCCGTGTGTATTCCATTAGGACGACTGAAGTTCTACTTACATTCTTCTCTGGAACTGTTACTTTCTGGAACAAACTCTTAATAGGATATTTTCCCGATCACAACAATCATAACTTTTTCAAGTTTCGGTTAACCGTTATCTCTCTTATATGACTTCATAAAATGCACTTCTTACGCTCATACAGCATAACTAGTTAACCTTCTATCTTGAGTGACTCTTGGGCCTTGTAGGTGAAAATCATTATAGAAACAATTCAATCCTTCCTTTTTTATCTTTTCTTTATTTTTATACTCACTCACTGATAACTTTGTTCCAAATATAAATGACTATATCATCATTATACAATAAACAAGAAAGAGAGAATTACAACTTATTAAGGTCACTATCATAAAATAAGACTAATGGGAAAGATATCGTCAAATGTATCAAGTAATTAAAAACTATATTACGATGGTGAGTTAAAAAGTAATGCAATAAATTTATATAAGAAATAAAGACAATATTGTACATCAAGATATAGCTCAACATCAAAGGTTCACATCCCGACTTCGCAACATATCCACCCCTCTTTAAATGGTGGTATTCCACCTAGGAATAATAGCATGTATCTCAGCTTCGTGAAGCTCTGCTGGATGTTGATGTTGCTAATTCATTACAGCAGTTGTCACTTCATCAGCATCTGATTAACATCCTAAGGCGTCCAATTCTTTGGTCTAATGACAAAAGCATAATGGTGTGAGGAAGGAAAGACAGACACAATTTAAATAACTCAGTCATGTATGTGCCATGCCTGATACACGCTTAAGCGATCATGTATCTTTCTATATATGACTGACAAGGCAATTTTTTTCCTGCAGTAGGTTGCCATTTCATTTTGCAGTAGACCAGTTGCCATCCAGGGCTATAGAACCCGGCCTGTCCTGCTATTTACCCATATCTGGGAGAATAAGAAGAGAATTCATACCTTTCCCAAGGGTATTAGCACGTAAATGAATGTAATGGATTCGAATGGAATTCGAACTCGGCTCTCCGATTCATCAATTCGAAACGCTATCCATTACTCCAAAATCCGAAGGTACATTCGGATAGTGAAAAGATGCCTTCCAAAATTTAATCACGTTTAAATAACAGGAAAAATTCATTGGAAGCAAAGAAAAGATTCATGATCTGTTATTTAATATCGGGTCTTGTATAAGCCAGTCAATGCTGGAGCGTCTCATTACAGATGAACAAAAGATTTGAGGTAACAAAAACGAGAAGGATATTGAGAATACGATGGACAGAACACGTGAACAACGAAAGTGGAAAAGCATAAAGGAAACGTATATGTAACAGCAGAACCAGACAGTTGAAATTACCAGAGGACATAATGAAGAAAGAGGACTTGGAAAATTTGTCACTCAGGGATATATTGAAAGCAGAATGGACTGAGAGAAAATATTGCATTACCTACATAACGAGCTCATGTAAATGATCGACAGAACAGTGTTTAGGAGATATAGGAAAAACAATTTTTACTTAGGGCGACAGAGGACAGAAAGTTGTGCATACGTCTTGATGCGAGACAGCACACAGAAAAAGAATACAGATAAGAAAAAAAAATCTATATTTATATCGAGTAGCCTATCTCCATTCGAATTCTATCTGTGCCAATCTATTCATAACTATTGTTCATATGGACCTATTAATATTATTTTTATAGTGTGGAAACGGGATATATTCTGCGTATACAGACAAAAAAAGTGTAGATGTGTGGCGAGACTTGTGTACGTATGATGTAAACTAAAGGTAACGTATTTTGACTTTATAGTTAATGACAAAGCAACCGAAACCTGATCCCACGACCGCCATTCTGCTGATTTGTCGCATCCTTCCTCACCCCAAACGCACGTTGGTCGGTACGCAGCATTACCGAAACCTATATAACCGAAGCAAAGATAAAAACTGCCTTTGATCTTTGAGGTGTAAGTAACGGCTTAAAAAGGAGACGACGTGGAGAGGTTGTCGACCGCGGACGCGATGGTGGTGAAAATTAACGACTAACGAAGGGAGTGAGAGATACAAAGGAGAAAAGTTTCAGCAGGATACAATAAAGCGTTTGGGAAAGAAAAACATTACGTGTATGCTGCAGAAAGAAAGAAAGAAAGAAAGAAAGAAAGAAAGAAAGAAAGAAAGAAAGAAAGAAAGAAAAATGAATAGAGAATTAAATAGAAAAACAGCTAGAGAAAATAAAGAAAGAAGCAGAAGAAACAGAAAGAAAGAAGAGAGAGAGAGAGACAAAAAATGGTAAGAAGTTAAAAACACAGAAAAGGAAAGAGGCAGATAAAAGGAGAAGTAGAAAAGTGAGAGTTTCGGCGATAAAAAAGAGTGTTTATAAGTGATAGTGCTCGTCTATTGATGAAAGAAAGAGAGAGAATTAAAGTGTGTAATTATTGCTTTAGAGGGGGAGAAAAGAAAACGAAAAAGAAACAGCATGATGCCTGATTGAGCGTGAATTCTTAAGAAGAAAAACAATGACGAAGGAAAACTTTATACGCATGCGTTATATGAGAAATTATTTTAAAAGTGTACGTAAAACGAGATTGATTTTTTTACGGTTTATCAACCTTTTATTGCACACAATAAGGATTTTCTGATACAACTCATCACCTATTTTGCTTCCAACTATGAGAGGCGGATTCATACCTTTCACAAGGGTATTTTCACGTAAGTAACGAAGCCGACTGGAATTCGAACTCGGCTCTTCGATTTCTCATTCTTAGTCTTTTATCTATTACACCAAACGAACATCAAATCTTACATCATCTGGTATTGCTTAGCGGTCACCCATCTATGTCCTGGTTAGGTTCAACGTTGCTTAACTTCCGTGATATAACGAGAACCGGTGTTTCAACGTGGTATGACTGTAAACCTACGTAACATGAGAGATAAAAAAGACAACATCTAATAAGAGCTACAAAGGACAGGAAATTGTGGAGAGCCATGATCGTCAACGTCCTGAAGAAACACAGCATATAGAAGAAGATAAAAAGGAGTAGATATCTGTGTGTATCGTAGGGTGTAAAATAGTGTTTTTTTTCTTCTCTTTTTTTTAAATGCCATGTCCCATCAAGATGTTGGTGAACGTGATATTTCACATATTCCTTTTACTTTATTATCGGTGAATTAACAGTGGAGTAATTTTCTTTTGACTTCTCCACGTTAGGGGACCTGGTTTTCCCTTCACTTAGATTGGTTACCAGTCAAGTCTACAGAGTCCAGTCCACCCTGTTTTTTCACCGCAAAGCTGGGAGAGTGCAGAAATAGGAAATGTCTTTCCCAAGAGCAAGTGAACCCACATAAGCAAGACTGTATGTATATAGCCAAGAGATCGAAATAGATAGGTAGATAGATAGAGAGGGAGAGATAGGGGGAGACAAACACAGCTAAAGAAATAAAATGTGATTTATATCTACAACGTTTCTTCGACATCTTACTGTACGACTTTAGAGACGTTCGGCTATTTCCCAACAGTATATCTATTTTTCAAATTTACTCAAAACAGATTATGACATAAAATGTCTCACACGGAGTTGAGGTGATCCCAAGAACAAGACAATATTCCCTCTTCCCCATTTTTCTCTTGTAAGCTCTTGTTCAGACGAGGCCGAATGCAAATCATAGCAAGTTGTTTGTCGGACACAGGTTTATTTATGACCTCGGCCTTCAATCAGTGGCCAAATCCATCATTTCATTCGGTCGTTACAGTGACGAATTGAGAAATACATCTTTTTCGCTCGACCCAAGTTTAGAATCCTACATAGACTGTCTGCACGCCCATCTTTCTTTTAGCCTATTAAAAATGATGCAGAGTTTCTAGCTGCTTTTGGTAATACACTATTTATATTGTACATGGGATTCTATGTAGCTGATTGGTCAAACTATTCGTTCGATTATAAAATAGAAAATTTACTTAATAAACCGAACGAAAATTATGGACAAATCGATAACTATACAATCGTTTATCTGCTACCTACACAGTCATCGTTATAATCAAATATCACCTTCATAATGAGCTTCCCTATATTAAGGCATGTTTACGTGCTTGGGAAAAAAGACAATTATGTTATGCAATAGTATCTTATGCAATATCGCAATGTGATATTGAGCCTTTCATGGTTGGACGTCTTGTTTTTATGGTACGTATTGCTGCTAGTATATAACAGAGGAAAGGTATCTCTCTATCTCTCCCCATATATATATATATATATATATATATATATATATATATATATATATATAAGGAAGGAAGAAGGTTATAGTAGTTCCAACGAGAGAAAAGTGTTTATAGAGAGAGAAACCGCAAACGTTTTTGGTTATAATGTGGATTTTAAAAAAACATTATGCCTTATTTTCCATAATTTTTTATATATATATGCATGTTTCATTAAAAACGACAGACAATTTACTACGGTTAAGCTTTTTATTTAATTTTTCGTGTGTTTGCAAATAGGTTTTCTATTTTGGACTATATAGTCCCGAGCGCTTTCGGCTATATTTTTAGCCATCATCAAGGATGATTTTAGTTTTCACTTTAAATGAGTGTGTATGTAGTAGATTCTCTGTCGTTTTTAATGATACACATAACACACACACACACACACTCGTTTAAACTGAAATAATAAAATCATCCTTGATAATAGCTAAAAGTATAGCCGAAAGCGCTCGGAACTATAGAATATTTGGGCAGTTTCTACACACTCTGTGTCCCAAAAAAGAAAGCTCTTGTGCGAACACAAGAAAAATTAAATAAAAAGCTTAACCGTAATACCTTGCCTGTCGTTTTTAATGAAACATGTATAAATGAAGGATTGGTACCTAAATACACAATGTACATATATATATATATATATATATATATATATATATATATATATATATATATATATTATAGTTGTTGTTTTATTTATATGATGGCTGTTGTGGTCAACAGCCATTTTTGGGAGAGACAGATTCCTCATGGCTGCTAATACTAACATCACATTGGAAGCAGAAACAAGCGTCAAATTTGAAATACAAAACCAAATTCTGTAGTTCGTGTCAACGAAAATCAGATTTGTAGTTTTGGTTGTTCAAATGCTCCCCGGAAAACAGAAAAATGGTTAGAATTTCATAAAGAAAACATACAAAAATCGTTTGTTGTTTTGTAGCCAGACTTGCATAAATTAAACATTGCTGTCCATACACACAAATATCCACATACATATTTTATAATTTCAAAGATTTTTAGTGGATCACCTTAAGTGAAATAGACGCCTCGTTTTTATATTAAACAATGGAACAGTGATATAGCCTGTTCAACTGTCGAACTCTCTGCTTTGAGCAGATAGGAACACGGGCGAGGTTTTACCGAAGGGCCGAGTTTCGCCCGGGGAGGTAAACAGGTAGACAGGTAGGCTTATGCGGGTTCTACGGGAAGATTTTGGCCGACCCTACGGGCTTGGAGACCCCACGGTAAACTCGGCCTTGTGCCACATACATCTCTCGTGGGTGGCTGTTAAATATTAACAGTGTGCCTTACATCTATTGGTCCGTGCACTCGAGAAATGTTAATAAAGAAAATGTGCTGTCGAGGGCATAAACTTTGAAAAAAATTTTGGACATATATATATATATATATATATATATATATATATATATATATATACTCATCCACAGACTATTTCGCAGCTCTTCAGTTTGTCAAGCCGGGATCGATACCCGACCGATTTGGCATCAGTTAGAGATCTTACGCCTAGGCTATCGTTGCACGGCAGAGAGAAAGGGAAATTTTAACGTGTTCTATACGAAATGCAATAAAAACATGTAGGAATCGCTATACAACTGCAGTCGTGTTTCAACACATAATGATGCGTCTCCTCAGACAATTGTAAATTACGGGCAAGTGAACGATTAATTTGGTTCCAAAAGCAAAATACATCCTCATTTTTTGAAATAAAAAAAATAATGGCTTGATGGCTTTACTCTAATCAACCAATCTAATATAACCTACGTTAAATTCGAACTAACAGAAAACGAAAAACTTAGAAATTATTATCTTACAGATGTGTCAAGGCAAGCATTTAACATCTAACAGCAGCAATACATTAACTCAAAGACTGATACAAATACATAAATGTACACATGTCAGGCAGTCAACTCTCTTAGGAAATAAAATCCAGTGTGGTTTTAGAGAGGTAATTTAACCGAATGCCCAACTAGTTATAACTTCGTGGGTTTCCTACATATATATGTTTTGTAGTTGATAAATAAGAGACCTCTTTAAAAAACTGTTAAATAAACTAAACATCTAGAATTATTTCTTAAATAATATGCAACCGTTAAATAAATATCATCCATATAAGATTTTAATAATATCAACCAATCAATGTAAAATGTTAAAAATACTAACTAATTACCATTACATCCGTATAAGATGTTAATAATACTCCCAGGAGGTCAATACAGAATGAAATTAAACTCAAAATTAATCATACAAATTGAAAGATAAGCAACATATGGTGCAACAAAGTTCAACTAAAGTCTATGAAAAAAACAAATTCCAAAGTCTAACTGAATTGTAAGGTAAAAGGTAGCCTGTGTTTACAATTTACCGTTAACTCGGATCTTTGATTTAATAAAGTATTCTTATCAAAGGATTTGATAATTTCCAATTTTTCATGTAAACACAGCAAACAAGGTCCATATAAGGATCTACATGTACTTGCCATTTTTAAAATTTTCCATTTCATCTTTGGAGTTTAATATCATCTTTGAAACTCCAAAAATATTTAGAAAGTAATGTCTTATTTCTATAAGTATTATTAGTGAAGGACAAGATACGTTGATACTACCTAGTTTCAAAATAATTCTTAGTAGTACCCATATAGAATTTTTCAACCGTTGGATCCTCTATTGTATAGATAGTACTAAGGTAAATTGTTTAGCAATGGGCATTGGTCTGAATCCCTACAATTACATTGATTAGTATCATTAGTAATATTTATCTCGGGACGTGCATTATGATCCAGATTATTAAATTAGTTTAAAATTTTATTATTGTGTAACTTTATAATCCTTTCATCTTACCTGAATATATATATATAAGTATAGGATTGGTGTATACGGAATAAAATTCCAATAACCAAAAACACTATTCTTAAAAGAGTGCTCAATACAGAGTAGAGCAAATATAATTTATTCAAAAAGTATAACATAAACATGTGTCACAGCGTTTCCCCTGTTAAGGAGTGTTTGGTTGATTTGAACTTTTTAAATTCTACATTCAACACCATCACTTGATAAGACACCAGAAGTGTTGAAACAAAATGGCTATTTTTGTAGTCATATCATAACATGTTTATGTTATAATTTTTTTTAAATATATATATATATATATATATATATATATATATATATATGTATGTATGTATGTGTATGAGTCTGTGTGTGTGAGTTGTGTGTGTGTGTGTGTGTGTGTGTGTGTGTGTGTGTGTGTGTGTGTGTGTGTGTGTGTGTGTGTGTGTGTTCTGCTTATACGTCATTATACGTTATACGCTAATAAAGTATAAACAGAAAATATATTAAAATAATTGTCGGAATTAATCCATTTCATTATATATATATATATATGTGTGTGTGTGTGTGTGTGTTTCTGTGTGTGTGTTTCTGTGTGAGTGAATGTTTGCTTATGTAATTAATTAATTGAAATTCAATTCTAGCTAAATGCAGGCTATCGTCGATTTTGTTGAATAAAATGCTCCATATCCTAAGGATATAACCACATTGTGCAATGTTACGTGTTTTAGATCTTATTAAAAACGTGACAAGCATACACGTAACTAATATAGATGGCTTCTATCGACGCATTATATCACGTGCTCGATTTTACAGTGAAACTTTCAGTTATGTGCATACTTGACACGTTTTTAATAAGATCTAAGAACATAACATTACACTATATACACATATAGCGACTGGCTAAAAATTATGGCTTAAGGTATCATACTATCGTGTAGGTCACCTCACCGAGCAAAGTGCAACAATTCGACGTCACATCGAAAGACATTTTGAAAGAAATTGAGCCGTGGTTGAAAGATGTCTTGAGTGATATTCACACGGGAATAAAAAAATGGGTTCGAGGGATGTTGAGCCGTAGTTGTATGATAACTCGGGAGGTGTTGAGCGTTAGTTGAAAGACGTCCCGAGAGATGTTGATCCATTTTTGAAAGAAGCCTCCATACTGACTCGTGGTTGAAAGAAGTCGCGAGAGATGGTGAGACGCTGTAGAAAGACGTCTTGAGAGATGTTGGACCGTAGTTGTAAGACGCCTCGGCAGATGTTGAGCGTTAGATGAAAGACGTCTCGTGGGATTTTGAGCCATATTTGAAAGACGCCTTGATACTGAGCCGTGGCTGAAAGACGCCGCGAGAGATGGTGAGACGCGGTCGAAT